GGGGAATTCTGGGAGCTGAAGTCCACTCATCTTAAAGTGGCCAAGTTTGGACAACACTGATCTACAGCAAAGCAAAATAAGTGAGGATGTCACCAAGAGCTGAAAAGTTCCCTTGCTCAATATGGTCATGAAGTCCAGGGCCTAAAACTCTCTCACGGCACATCTCACCCCACCCCGCATGTACCTGTGGGCCAGAAGTGGGAACTGGAGGGCAGAAGGGAGACCAAAGCAGGACTTGTTTCTTTAATCTGTCTCCCCTCCTATGACAACAAAGCCCACCCAGATGCTCATGGCCCCCTGGGATGAGCAAGACTTCTGGAAGCCACTCAGTCCCAGAGGAGCACCCAGATTAGGAAAAGACTGCCCCCCCCCCGATATTTTGGGCTGCCTTCCCCAGGTTCTCCTCTGGATTCTCTGGAGTAGCCTCCAAGGCCACAGGAGTGACAAGAAGTCCCCACCAGTTGGGCTGGGGTGGAGGCTGAAAAGCTCAAGTGACATCTGTTCCAGCCTGGTCTTGCCTTCATGTGCCCAGGCCTCTGCCCCCTGTGCACAACTGGACAATGCTTCCTTCTCCCCCTCCCTTCTCCTCCCCTCTAACTTACAGGGAAATGTCACTCCTCCCGCATGTTTGGTTCCAAAGTTTTCAGCTTTTAGAAAGAGAACTCAGCGGCTGTGTGGCAGTAAGCTAGCCCTGTCTTCCCATGCTTTTGGGTTCTCCTGAGGAGGCATCTGCTCACCCTTTCCCGAGCCTGGCCTGAAGTCCACGCATCTATCCACACAGCTGCTGGGCTGGGTTCACCCCACCCATCGTTTTCTCTTTTCAGGTAGATTCAGTTCACCTTGGTTCTGTTTCTGCCTAGAAGCAGGATTGTGTGAGTTAACCTTTGTAAGTTAACCACTTTGAAAATGAGGAGGGCCCTGGAAGTCCTTGATAACAGAGAACTTCCCAGGAAAGCAGGACTTCAGGCAGACCTGGAGAAGCAGGCTCACCTCTCCCGCAGGAAAATAACTGAACTTTGGAGCATGGGGGTCGTGCTGGAAGGAGGATGCAAGGAAGAGAGTGGTGGGCATCATCTTGCTCTTTAATGTGCTACAAGATGATACCACGAGAAAATAGAAGACATTTTTGAAAACCCATCAGAAAATGTTGGAAGCTCTTCATTAGCTCAGATTGATAATTTCCTCTGTCTATTGGGGGTCAATGTATCTGGAAATAACTACACAGGACATACCCTGTGTAACCTGCCCTCTCTAAAGGGGGAGGGGAAATCACAGAAGACCCCATCCATGGGAGCTTGTATCTCTTCTGGGAAGGTGGACGGTAAGTGCCATTTTGATAGCCTGCTTATCGGGGAATGAGTCCATGCCCAGGGCACGTGCGGGGTAGGCGAGAATTGAGTGATCCAGACACACCTCTGTACTTTGAGGGAGGATCAGATTCCGAGCTGTTCCCTTGCAAAGGAATGTGGGCTGTGGGTGGGGTGAGGAAAGCAGGGCAATGCCAGATATGTGGCCATCTCTTGAGCCAAGCACAGTAACTGAGAGCCTTCTTGAAGGGGGCGCAGGGGATGCAGAGCCCATGCCCAGGTTTGGCTCCATTGTCTCGGCCCTGCCCTTTTCTCGGCTGGACGGGCTCTTTCAACGCAGGAAAGAAGAGCGCGCGCTTTTCCCACAGGGCTCCAACAGACAGACAGACAGCTTACCCCGGGGGTGGGTGGGGGGTAAAGAAGGCCTCTGAGTTCTGCTGGGGGCACCAGCTACACAGATGGGGCTAAAGCAGCCTTCTTCAACTGTTTGGGACTACAGTTCCTATCACACCCAGCCAGGTTTTGCTGAGGGTACAAGGCACTGATCTGCTAACCAAGAGGTGCCCAGGGAGAGCTGCTAACCAGTGATTTATGAAGCCCTGGTTCTTGCAACCCATAATCCTCCCTAAGATGAAAAGCAATTCAGGCCTTTCTTCTACAATGTACATTTTTAAAATGCAGATGTCAAGAGCATTTGTGCAACTGACCTCACAATTAGCTTGACTTGCAAACTTCGACTGTATAGTAAAACTCACAAATGTGCAAACTCGTGCTGACATGCTTACTTTCAAGACAACCATTGCATGGTTACAATTCACAAAGTCCTCTCTTTGGAGAGAGGGGCTGGGAAGACACACATGTCAGTTTGGTGGCCAACTGACTTTCCTGCTCCAGAGGGGCCCAAATCAGCAAGCGGCCTGAACCCGACAAGGGTTTCAGAAATCTCCTGCTGCCTGCATGCCACAGGTTTTCCTTGAGCAAAGCTTCCCTCTAGTGGCCCATTGACTTTGTGAATTGTAACCATGCAATGGTTGTCTTGAAAGTAAGCAGTCAAGGCTTGTCGAGCAAAGCAGAAGGAGCTTCAGGGTCATTCACGCACACCCCCTCCCTGCAATTCCATCTCTCTTCTTGTCTTCCAACCTGTTCCAGCTGAGAACATCCCCAAAGGAGTTGGGGCTCACAGGGGTTCGACCCCTGGGATTGCACTCCCACACAGCTTCCTGCTCTGCTGCTGCTGCTGGATTAGCTGAACCCCCACATCTGATCTAGGGTAACCCTAACTCTTCCTCTCTGACACTGCCCACATGCCCAAGTGCTGTGAACAGAAGCCTAGGTCTGGTGGCCATTTCACCTGTGGGAAAAAGACACTGTGCTTTCACGCCCACGTTTTCCAAAGATTTCACTAAAATCATAGAGAGATCAAAGAGCGGAGGAGAACCTTTATATGAACCCTGGAGTTTTCTGCTCAGCCAGTATGGACCCCCCCACCCAGCCACCCAATCCATTGCAATGCCCCTTGTTGGCAGACATCTGAGAAAGAAACGTCAGCTTTGGATGTCCTCCTCTTCTCCACCATGGCCCCCTCCACCTCAGAAAGGATCCAAGAGGAAATCAACTAAACAATTGGGCAGAACTGCCCCCCTTCAACAAAGGACAGGCTGAAGCAGCCCTACTTGGGCGTGGTGCTCCATGAGATCCAGAGATTAATGCACTCAGGGTGCCCCCTGCCATGACATGCAACACTGCTTTTGCGGGGTACATAACCCCAAAGGTACGTGGGTGAGATTCTCTCCAGCATATGGACTTCAGAGGTACAATGAAGAGGAGCAGCAAAATGCGGCAGCCGATTTCTACGTTGAAGTAAGAGTCCCACAGTCCACCAGTTCTGCCCTCCTGCAGGATGGGATATGCTAACCTTCCCCAACTGGTGCTGTCAAGGTTCATGGCAACCAGAGCTCCCCCAGAAGGCAACCCACACAGCAGGCCCGTTTTCAAAGAGCTAGGCGCTCACGCAGGACATTGTCTTCCATCTCTTCAGACGGACAAATGGACAGATGGATGGACAGATGGGCGGACAGACAGACGGACGGGCGGATGGACAGATGGACGGACAGACATACGGACAGATGGACAGACAGACAGACACGTTCCTACATTGCAGCTTAAAAAAAACATAGGGAAAAGAGGGTTTGCTTTATGGTGGTTAAGTGGGGGGCAAGGGGGGAATGTGCTTCACTCAGCCTGGGGAGAAACTGAATGGTCCTCCCCTGGAAATATGGGGCTGAATGTTGCATGAGCTCCTGGGGGGAGGAATTCTGGGAGTTGAGGTCCACACATCTTCAAGTTGCCAAGGTTAAAAACACCGCCTGAGTCCATCACAGCTGTGGCTGTATTAAATTGAAATGAAGCACTGTGGAGCTCTGCTCCAAGGAATATAAGAAGGCACAGCATGGAAAACAAGAGCTTTGGACTAAAAATGGAAAACATGGGAGTGGGTGTCTTTGCAAGGAGCTGAGAGGGGGAGGGTGGAAGGACAAACTGCCAGAAGTGAAGAAAATTGTTCCATGCTAATGTCAAGGGCAAAGTTTTTCTCTCCTTGGTCTGGCTGCCAAAAAAGCCCAAACTCCTTCAAATGGCCTACAAGCTGGTATGTAGGTTTTGTAGGAATAAAGTATATAAGAAGTCAGAGCAAGTAGACAGGGTGAAGGTGGTTTCTTCTAGGTTTGGCAGGAAGTGTTCCTGGAGTGAGAAGCCACTGGAGAGGATGTGGACCAGAGGAAGCAGCAGCTGAAGAGGCCAGGGACCGGACGATCCATGGTCGGGGCAGCGCGGAAACCAAAAACTCACCCAAGAGACTGAAGGAAGATTTCAACACCGCTTTATTTCCTACAGTTGCAGGGCTGTTCTTTGTCCTCTACGCATACACAGAGTTCCAGAGACACCAGCCCCTTGAAGGCATGACTGTCATTTAGAAATCTGAACAGTAATGGCACAAACATTCAGATTCTTGTGGAAAGTTTTCACTCTGGCCAGGTGGAGCAAAAGAGGCACACCCCAGCTAAAAGGGCATTGTAGTCTTCCTGTTTTGCTAGGAGGTCCCACTTGCAAAAGCCCAAAGCCAACTTTAGGGTCTTTGACACAAGCATGGAGCCACTTTAACCATGATATGAAAAGGATTCTATTTTAATGTATTTTGTTAAAAAGACCTCAGTTTAATCTTAAAAGCAGCTTTTCTACCACGATAGCGTTACAAGCACCATAAGAGGTTGGAACAAGGAAAAAGTTGCGGCAACTGAAGACAGAAGAGAAATAAACAAAGGGGTGCCAGGAAAGAGAATACAATGGCCGTGCAAACACCAGGTGATTCAGGCATTAGCAAACTGGCTTAACAAGGAAAGAAAATATTAAATTTGTATTACTAAATACTAAAGTTGTATACTAAAGTTGCCAAGGGAGTCAGGAAAAACTGCTTGATAAAGAAATGTGGGGAGGCAACAACTGGGGTTGGAAAGTCTTAATTCTGGTAGTATTTAGCTAGGAGTCACATAGATGCTTGGTCATCGTGTACCTAGGCACTTGGTCGCTAGGATATACTTGTGAATAGGTTCTGCCCTGAGCTTGCACAATAACAAACATCTCTGTAATTCAATTGTGCTGCCTGCGCGCACATTTGTTCTTGCAGTCAGGAAGCAGCCGGCAGCCCATAGTGGCGATTGGCCAAGCAGAAAAAGCACAGCTCTGCCCTTGGATACTCTCCAACTGCTTCCTTCGTTGGCTGTCCCCAGAACAGTCTGGCTGAAGAAGGCTGACGTTCCTCCTGTCTCCCTCTAATTTCTGGAATCAAAGAAGGGCTCAGGGAGGACTCGCTTTCAGTCTGGGAATCAGCCTGTCTTTCCGTTTGCCTGCTCTTACTTCAGAACGCTCCAAGGCTTTATATGGTAAGACCATCTCTTTTCCTTTGGACCTTTGGTTTCTGGTAAGGACAGTGACAATTGGACCCAGCTCCACGTGTTGCAAGAGTTTTGAAAATAAAGCATTTCTCTCTCCCTCATCTCTCTCTATATTTATATCTGTCTGTCTGTCTGTCTGTCTGTCTGTCTGTCTGTCTGTCTATCCATCCATCCATCCATCCATCCATCCATCCATCCATCCATCCATCCATCCATCCATCCATCCATCCTCTCTCTCATCTTCTCTCTCATCTTCTCTCTCTCTCTCTCTCTCTCTCTCATCTCTGTCTATATTTATATCTATCTATCATCTCTGTCTCTGTCTCTGTCTCTGTCTCTGTCTCTGTCTCTGTCTCTGTCTCTGTCTCTGTCTCTG